CAGGGTAGTTATTTCGCTGTAGGTACTACTTATACTGACCAATTCTTTATCTAACGTCTCTGTGTCACCACTTATGGCTTTTGCTCGGTGTTTAAGCAACAGACGATCCCTTTCTTTATGCTGTATGGATGATGGGAGTTGCAATTGAGGTACTGTCCGGTGAATGTTGGTTTACGGTATACAGATGTCTTAAACCCAGGCTCTGCTCGAGATATTAGAACATTCAGGAATGGGAGTGTTGTTACTCTCTTTCTCTATTAGAACGGGTACAAACTGTCTGCCTGCCTTATGTGAAGGGGTTATCAGAGAAAAGTCACAGGGGATCTGCGGTCCATATAAACATCAGACAACCTTCAAAAGCTTACTTACACTTTTGCAGATATCTCTCGAGTAAGACCTCCCCATAGAGGAAAACATGACTAAAGACTGTGTGCAGCTACGAAACGAATATAAAGGGAGAAACAGGCCGCCTGCTTCAGGTAAGGCTTCAAGAACACCAGAAAGCTGTAAATAAGGGGAAGTAGAAAAATCAGGCGCATGACCACATATGGAGAGAGAAGGAGATCACCGCCCTCTGTGGGATCATGATGAGATCATAAATAAAGAAAACCATTGGAAAATTTCGTAAACTTAAGCAATCAGCACATATGGTAGGCCACAAAATCTTTGAGCTGACTAACATAGAAATAAATACAATATAGGAACTAGTAATAAGGAGTGCCATAGAACAGCAATGATAACAACAATTGTTTAATATGAGCTCTGGTAAAAACATGCAATGATAAGACATTAGTCGACGAATACCCAGAAATTCATACACACAGATGTCCTCAGTCACACAGTGGATAAAGGTGTTGGTTAGATCCAGTGACAGACCCAAAGAGTGAGTTCAATACCCGTTAAGGCAGTGAAAAAACTTTCAGAGGGAAATTAGCAGGACATAACTGATAACTGACATCCATCAAACATGGCACATGGAACTAGAACAGTCTACCCCAGTGAGCAAAATAAAGGGTTCAGTTCGGAAATTCAAACACCTGAAGAAGGTCTGTGGAGCATAAATAAAAAACGTTTTTTAAATATGGTGACAAAATGAGGACAATAGTCTGAATAATGTAAATAATGCACATAATACCTCATCTCAGAAATATATACATTCATACATACATACATACATGAAAATAGAAACAAGTTATTGAGTGATGAGAATACAACATTAGAAATTGTGAAAAAGTTGAACAGTAATTCTACGAAAATGTAAAATAATATTCAAGCAAAGAAAATCTTGGAGAAGCAATAACGACTGCAGCATGTTTTATTAAAGGCAAAGAAATTATAAAAGTTTACAAAATTATTAAATTAACGAATAAAAAACTAATAATGGTTATATTATTAAAGTTCCCATATTAAAATGTAAAATAAAATAATTCAAGTATATGGAATATTGTCTTCAAAAATCTGTTTCTATGACCTGTAATGTTTTGGATTTAGTGAAAAATAAGAATGAACTAAGTATAATAATTAGTTTGTTTGCATAACAAAATCAAACACCCAAAAAAACAAGTTATCAGTATTTTTAATAAAGTTGCATATTACTGACTGAAAGTTACATGATATATTGCTCATATAAAGTATATCCTGAAAATTCTATCAGCATTGGTTGGTTAATATGCATTATGAAAATAATCAATTTTCATAATAGAATCTGACATGTCATTTTAGCATCTTTTGAAACTGGAATTAATATGCATACAAGAATTTATTTTTAACTAAAAAGAATAAAGAACATCAGACAATACTCAATTCTTGCTACAATGATGCTTACCTTCCCACCTGTTAGCAAAGATCCAAGTCCCCAAAATGTACCACCACCAATTGATGTGCCCCCAATCCGACTAAAGTTATTCTCAGATTCTACCTGGAAATAATCAAAAATAAACAATCTCAATCCACTTGGTTAAGTCATACCTCTCTTACAATGATTTATGAAACCACTAATAATAAAACTTTGTTACTTGGTATAATGAAAAAGTAATCAAAAAAAAAAAAAATAAAATAATTTCAGCTGTGATCTAAAATGTCTTTATGCAATGTAGTTTTATCTTAGCAAAATTGTAAACTTCAATAATTACTATTCTTTCAAAAGTTTTTATTACACCTTTTTATGAACTGAAGCAGCTTTCTAAATAATCACTACATTTAATCATCAGTTCAAAAATTAGTAATCAAATTGTACACCTAAATTAGTTGTATATCTGTACATATAAAGATAGTCGAAAGGATTTTAACCTAAATTATAACACAAATAAGAAAAGGAAAAAACCAGGTCATAGCACAATATTACATTTTTCTTTTGAAGATTAAGTAATTTCACACATTGTTATACACTTATTTTATTCACTGAACTTGGGTATAATGAATACATTATGTTAAACCTTTTAAAAGGCACTGGCATGATCCTTGTAAAAAGTGCACAAAAGTATGCTAGCGAATGCCCCTTTTTCTTGATATAATACACACAGCTTCTTAAATATGTTGTACTGCATGTACAACATATTTGTGGAATAAATGTGGTTCTATTACAGTATTGTATTTTCATTACTAAGTTGGTTCCTTCCAGTCTATTCAACAAAGAACCATGGACAAGATTGGCTTACCATTGAAACACCTGTTCTTGTTTGATCAAAGTTAATCAACATCAGGCTTGGTCAGTACTTAGATCAGTGGCTGTTTGGGAATACCAGGTGCTGTAAACATGGATGTGCAGGAGGTGTAATGGGTAATGGCTTGAAATTGGAAATCAAAACCCAAGTTCCAATTCCAATCAGGTTTATTATATTCACTTATATGCAAATACTTTTGGGAAAGGTACAAGTCAACATCTTCTACCCATCAGTCATGGGTTAATTACTAGGACTTGTATCAATAAATCATTCAAAAAATTCTTAGATTCTAAAAATATTTTCTGGCTTTAAATAACCTGCAAAGGTTGATAAGCTGCAAAAAAAAAAAAAAAAAAAAAAATATCAACTGACAAGCTTTTGCAACTGCCCCTTGTTCAAGTACTGCTGTGAAGGACTGGAGACACTGGTATGCTACTTTTTTTTAAATTTTTCTTCAAAATACTGAACAGCACTTCTCAAATAAACTGATGGTACTTATAAATTATATCCCCTCTTCTCTTGTCTATGTTTCCAACTGTTCAAACTATGAGTATTACTCTTCAGAATTTGGACAGTAAACCAAAGAATGAGGTTGATACAAGACATCTAGCTGACAAAATTCAGTGGAAACAGACAAATATCTGCAGGCTCTGAGACATTTGAATGGATATTATAATTACAAGGCTGTCAGTACTGAGAAATGTAAAGACAAGGTAATAAGTGGAGCGACAAAATATTATCTGTCAGCGATTACTTGAAAATACAACTCCAACTTTGATCAAGTGAGAGCTCTTGAACAAACATATATAAGTTCCAAGTTGTACTGTATTCCAATTTTTAATGTGACATTCCTGTCTGTCAAATTGAACTAACCAAACTGAAAAAATAATATTCACTGTTGTTTTTAAAGCCCTAAATTGTTTCTTCAATGGAAATAATAGGCATCTTTGCTGGGACTGCCATGCTTAGAAGGTGACATGCTGAAAATGTTGTAAAATTAGCAGTTTTGCAAAAGTATATCAATTTTAGGTCATTTGCAATACTTCATTCTTCTATTCCTGCAGTGATGACAGCATCATTTAATGATTTCCTTACTGCTGCTACCTTCATGGAAATAAACAGAAAAAAGTCAGAACACTTACAGATACCAGAAGTAGCAAGAACTTTATATGCCAGTTCCTGGTGTGGGGACTTTCATTTACTTTCTCTACCAGGGATTTTTAGTATGTCTGTGGTGTCTTCTTTCAGTTCTCAGATGTCAGGTTTTTGCCTAATAAACATGGAGTTGGGGAAACAAAAATACTAGAATACATAACTATCTGTGCTTCCTGATTTGAATGAAATTTGGTTTCACTAAATGTGTGCAAATTATATTGTTTCTCCACCCTAATTTTTTTTGCTAATCACACTGAAAATTGAAGGCTAATAGCTGCTAAATCCAAAAATTAATCTAGACAGATGAAGCAAGGAGACTGCTTGTCAAAAGAACCATGGAGGCATTTGAACATATAACACTTCCTCTTGATGAGCTCAAGTTATAGTGACCACTAATGAATGGCATAAAAAGAATGGTGGCCAATTACTCCCAGATGGTGAACAGATTCACAGAGTTGGATGTCTGTCTATCCATTACCAAAGATTTGAAAAATTAGTAAATATGGTGGTACAATGCAAAACAGACCTGAAGTGTGCTTACCATCACGTCCCAATTGATGACAAAGTATTAAACTTTACACAACCTTTGAAGTTAATGACCAGCTAAACCAATTCTGCAAGATTTCATTTGGAATAACCAATAGTACTGCTCGATTCTGTGAGGGCTTTGCACAAGTCTGCTTCATTGGTGAAGGATGTCCCACAAAGATGATTATCCAGGGAGTGGAAGAGGTGGTAATCGGATGGCACAAGGTCAGGTGAATAAGGTGGATGGCACAAAGTCTCCCATCCAAGTTGCTGTCTGGTATCCCTGACCACTCACGCGACATGGTGTTGTCATGGAGGAAAAGCACACCTTTGCGATTCACCAGTGCTGGCTCCTTCTGGTGCAATGCCTGTTGCACACGTTTCAATTGCTGCGAGTATAGGTCTCCAGTGACCATTTGGCCGTTGGTAGCAGTTCATAATGAACCACTTGACGGCCTGTCCACCAGACACAAAGCATAATCTTGCGTGGGTGCATAGGCGGTCTTGAGGTGTGAGGGACAGCATCCTGAGGAGACAACCAATGTCTGGAACGCTTGGGAGTTTCGTACAGAACCCACTTTTCATCACTGGTAAGCACTCGATTGTATAAGGATGCGGTACGCTGGCGAGAAAGTAGCGATACGCAGGCTGCCACTCGTTGTCCCTTGTGGACCTCCAACAGCGTTTGCAGGAACCCACTTGCTCAGTTTGTAATGTCTTACCTAGGCGGTGCAGGTGAAGTCTAACTGTTTCATCGGAAATGTTGAACTGTCTTGCAAGTTCACCACACGTTAGACTACTGTCCTCTTCAATGGCCGTCTTCAGGACTCCGTCATTCAAGACCTGTGGTCATCCACTACGAGGCTGATCATGGAGAGACAAATCTCCCGACTTGAATTTTCGAAACCAATGCATTGCAGTAAGTTCATCCACAGCACTATCCCCAAATGCTTGACATATGCGGCGACTTGATGCAGCTGCTAATAAGCCCACTTTGTAGTCATAAAGCAAACAGCCCCGAACGAGTTCTCTAGACACTTCCGTCCTTCTCAAAGCTGTCCGGCTTATAACTGATGGCCGGGCATGGTGCACGTGTTTTTTATAACGTCTGATGTTCCTACTTCTGGCTGTCTGAATTTGAAAACAATTGCTACACGCATTTCGTATATATTTCAACTTCATTCAATGACTAATCAAAAATGGACAGAATTTTTTTGGTTACCTTGTATATTGAAATCAACAACATTGGGACTCAAACTATAGGCCAATGGGAACAGGTTCTGCAAAATGTTTTGCATTCTATATGCACTCTACTTTTGACAACAATTAATGCTACTCTTAATGAGTGGTTATTTTATTATTCACACTTCGATCAGATTGGTTATTTTACTGGCATATCAACCACTATGGGTCATTAATGCCAAAATGGCATTAGTATCTTGTGGTATTTTGTTTGGGTATTTTTGTTTATATATTAGTGTAGTCTGGTACATTGCATTTTTATGGTTCCTGGTAGGTTATTGTTTTAGGTTGGTAGATATTTAAATTCTGGTGTAGCGTCTAATGTCTTTTAGGAAATTCAGTATATCATCTGGTTTACTATTTTTGAATAAGTCTTTTAAGTTAATTACTAGATAGTACTTAATTCAGATTGGATTGACATTGAAATATATACTTATAAACGTATATGTGTATGGTTCCTGACCTGCAGTGCACATTGGAGGTTATTCATTTTTAAACAAGCATGAAAGGGTGATATATGTATGTCCAAGGTGTAGTCAGGTTAGGGTTTTTCAGTAACCTGAGAGCTATTATCGAAATGTTTTTGCATTAGTTCCATTGATTCTGCCATTTTTTTGGTAATAAGTTTGCAGATGGTTGGTTTCAAGTCAGCATATGGTATCTTGGTATCTGACATGGGTGTATAGTGCTTTTTTGGCAGCTGTGTTGACCTTTTCATTTCTATAGCAACTGGCATGGCTTGGTATCCAACAGAGAATAAAGCATTTGCTTTTAATCAGAATGTCAATCTTATTCAGTAGTTTTGTGATTAAGGGGTTTGTTGCCTTTATGGTTCAGTGCTGTGAGTGCATATTTTGAATCAGAAAATAATGAATTTGTGGGCCTTACTATCAGTACTGACGGATTAAAAAAAGGGATCAAAGTGGGATGTGCAGCTGTAATTATAGGAAACAAATACACTTTTGTAGTTGGGTTAGTTATTTTGGATGTTAAAATTTTTTCTTGGAATGTGGTGGGGTCAGTTTTAATTTGAAAATACTTGAATAAACTCAATAAAATTTGGGGTTGTTTTAGTATCTAGGGTGCATTTTGGGAAATGGTAAATTCTTGGATTTTTTTTTGCATTGATTTGAGCTTCCTGGACAAGTTTTTGTATTTGAAGATTCAAAGGTTAGATAACCTTCTCTTTTCTATGAAAGAGAGCTTTATATTTGGTTTTAGATACACAATTGCAGGCTGATTTGTTGGACATTTTGGTGTAATACTGTAAAGCTAACTTTTGTCTTCTTAGTGATAGGGGTGCCTCATGTGCTTCAGCATATAGACTTTCCCCTGGTTAGGTGTTGAAGGTTCCCAGTGATAGTCTTAGACCTTGGTGATCTATTGTTTTTAAATAGGATTTTCTGGCTGACCCGTAAATAAAACTTCCATAGTCTAATTTTGATCATATCAATGTTTTATATATATTTAGCAGTATGGTTTTTGTCTGCTCCCCAGTTGGCATGAGCAACCACTTTCAAAGGTTTAATTGCCTTATTGCATTTGGATCTCAGTGCTTTTATATATGATATAAAAGTTAATTTGGAAGTGAAAATGATGTCTAAAAATTTGTGCTGTTGTACTACAGGTACTGCAGTGCTATCAATTTTAAAGGTGGGATCAAAATGCATTTTATGAAGTTTGTAAAATTGCATACATTTTTTTTAATTTTAAAACCATTTTTTTTTTCTGAGAATACATTGCTATAACTGTCTTTCAGCTGTGTGCATGTTTTTAGATCTGTAGCAGATAAGAAAATCATCAATGTACAGTGAGTCTCAATGCCAGGTCTGATGTATTTTATGATGTTATTTATTTTTATATTAAAATGAAAGCCTCAAGAAACCTTTTTCATTTATGAAAATTCATTTTAAACCTGAGGTATACCAATTTAGTGGAGATACCTATATTAAAGGGACTCTTTGGTATGCACTCTGTTGCTATTTGTATTAGTGTTTCTGTGAAGTGATCTGCTTGATCTCTAATACTCCTATTTGACATCAATTTTTCCTGGTACTGATCTGAATTTTTCCAGTCTGCTCTATTTAGTTTTCAATGAGTAGGGTTTATTTGTTGCTTGGTTCTGGGTTCTCAAGCAAGATTAGAAAGTGGTTGTTAACACATGTATCTTCATGCACTTTCCAAATAAAATTCATGTAAATCAATAGATGGCATATAGGTCTATAGTTGATGCAGAGCCAGCAGAAAGGTTCAAGTAAGTTAGGGATTTATTATTGAGAAGACAAATTATTATTGTTAATGAATTCTTCCAGATTTTTGCCTTTTTAGTTCACGTTTGTGCAGTCCCATATAGGGTTGTGGCTATTGTAGTCTAACAAGTTTTAGGGAGTTGTTCTAGCAGGTTGTGGAGTTCATTTTAGCTTATGGGGTCATGTGGTGGAATATAAATTGAACGTATTATGAGTGTTTTATGTAGTGTTGTTTGAATTATAATTGTTGATTCGTTTTTATTTCCAGTCTGCTTTGAAGTATATCATACCTAATGAAAACGGATACACCTCCACTAACTCAGAGCCTGGCATTCTGGGTGTAATGATATTCTTCATAATTTTTGATTTTTTAATCATTGTTTTTCAGTAGAAAGGTTTCTTGTAGGCAAATAATAGAAGGGTTTAACTGAGTAGCATGAGAAGTTCATTAAAGTTTGGTTTTAATCCTTGGCGGTTCTATTGTATCGTTTTATATATCATTGTGGAATGTAAAGTATTTATTCGTTTTGTGTTTTGGTCTTTTCATTGGTATAGTTTTCAGTGTCCATTTTATTGACCAACTTGTATTTATTTTTGTTTTTTATGCAATCTTTTATGCTTTTAGGTTCAGTTGTTTTTTTTTCAGCTTTTTCCTTGGGACCTTTGTTTTGTTGGTTTTTTTGCTTTTTCTCTTGAGGTGCATAATGGTAAACTTCCTGTTGAACAGGGTGTTTGGGATGACGGTCTTTCTATTGTTTACTTAGCATTATCTAATTGGTGATTTTGGTTTTTTGATGGGAGGTAATATATTTTCCATGTTCTCCTCAGTTTTTTCCTGTGGTCTTTGGCATTGCTGTTCATTTTTGGGGGTGAAATTTATGGGTGAATCTATCTACCTTCTATTATTGGTCTTATCTTTTTGATAAATTTAAACAAGTTTTCTGTTCCAGCATTAATAACTCCTGAAGGATGTTCCTATATTTATCTTCCATACAAAGACTATCCATTTTCAGTCCGACTACTTGATTGTATATTGTTTCTCTGTTGCCCATCTGCACCTGTTTCCTAGCTTCATGAAAAGAGAGCTTTCTAACATATTTAATTACTAATATTTCCTTTTCCTATGTTTCACACCATCTTGAGTATACAGGATGATCCCCCTCCACAGTTTGCACAGCATATTCTTTCTTTGCATTCATTTGTTGAGTGATTTGGATCTTTTTGCCCACATTTTGGACACACAATCCACGCTATTTTTGACAACTGTAGTATTTTAAAGGGTTAAGATTAAATTGATCTACTTTTTCTGTGATGTAGCCTATTTTAATTTTCTCATATTATATGTTAGTATGTAGACATTTGTATTGTTTTTTCTTCCTTTTCCACTGTAGAACTTTTTGCCTCTATCACTTCTTGCCATTTTAGTTCTTTCATAATTTCAAAAGAGTTTTCGGCTTCTTACAACTTCCTTGAATGTATTCAGGGTTTAATGTGGGTAGGCTTTGATATTGCAAGTGTGAAATTTCTCCATTTTGAGTAAAAAAATCTGAATATTCTTTTTGTTCTACTTCTATCAGGATTGCGCCATCTTTTTTAGTTTTTTGACTGTTTTAGGAGTAAGAGGTGTTGATATAATTTTTTGTATTATAAAAGGTGACAAATTTGTGTGTAGCAAATTTTCCAGAGATTCAAAGACTATATATATCTTGGGAATTTCTCTAGTGTTTTCTCCTTCTCGCTTCCTGAATTTATGTCTTGGTGCAGTTTCTTGGTAGGTTTATTTGGAACCATAAAAGTATGGTTATGCTTCATCACTTTTACTCCCTACCCACCTCTGAGTCCATTTTAATATTATATCAATGTGACATGTCAAGGAGGAAACCCATTCTCCTTGGCATGATAGAGATACAAGACAGGTATACTCGTTTCTGGGAGGTCTAGCCACAAGCATTTGTTCTTCTTTAAGTTCTATCACCCAAGTATGAAGAAAAAGTCAGGGATATAGAAATAATAATGATTGACCCTTCCCATTGCCTTCTCATACTTATGAGATACTAATGGAGTGGAATTGTTTATTTGGTGTTATTGTTTGGAAAATAGTCCTAAAATGTATATAATTTAAGTATCAGGGCTCAACATGACTAGATAATTGATTTGATTGGGCCTCTTTGACCACCATTCTAGCCCAGGTAAGGACCAAAGTAGAGTGCTGTGAAGCTCTTAACCAACTATACTTCAGATAGAGAGTCACTCACTAGGGCTTCATCTCCAGGCATCACAGGTCACCACCCATAGCCAATTGGTGGACCTATTATGGAGAGTTGCCCATCTGCAGGAGGAGAGGGTGTATGTGGACTCTCCACAATGCGTGCTGTCAACATATTCTGAAGCTCTAGTCAGCAGGGCAGTACTTAGTTCAGTGTTGATACTCTGTTCTAACATGACTGTTCACACCTGGAACATTTCTCCTGAAACATTATGAAAGACAATTGAAGTTGACCCTATTGTCAAAGAGACAGAACTTATTGAAGCTAATCCTTGATATGCACACATTTGTTTTTTGAATGACAAAGAAATATTGGTATCCCTCTGAGATACATTACTGGTGTAGAGCAGTAGCTCTACACCAGTAATTTAAAATGCAACCTTTCTGAAATGCAAGACCCAATCTTACCTCATCAAAACTTGGATAGATCCTAACCAAAATACAGTACAGGACAAAGTGGTAGCTATTATACAAATAGAAACATCAATTCCTTGTAAAAGATTCTCATGGTCTAAATAACAAGGACTTTGGGCAAAACTCCTAACTGCTTGAGATTATGAGTTTTATATATTTTCACTGCTCTTTCTATAAAAAATTCCTTTTCAATATTTTGTGAGTTTAATTGAAAGGTTATTTATTTGAAAATGAAAGTAGATAATATGAACAAAAAAGAGAAAAGATTAAAGTATAAATTTTACTCCTCTGTAAAAAATTTAAAAAAAATAACTTTAATAATTCCATTCCATATTGGATTAATTATTTGATTAAATCTTTTAAAATAGTTTTGTTATCAGATAAAATTCTTCTAACAATGTCTTGCTAACAGGGGAGATTGCAGGAAACTTACCTATCCTCACTTGGATCTTAAATATGTTATACTACTGGGCTTACTTTTCATTTTGTAGAATAATACATAAATTGGGTTTTAGTCTTGCATTTATTATTATTACTACTAAATTGGTTCATCACAACAACCTTTCGAGTTTCAAATTTCAAGTTCATTTTTCATCTACTAAATAACTGTATCAATACACACTGAAGCTTTGTTTTCAAGTGTACTATTAAGTTTAATGTCATAAATATAGGAAAAAAATGAACACAATATTTTTTAAATTGCTGTAAGTTTTACACAATAGCAAAGAGTTTATATTAATAACAATTGAATATTTGAACAAGTTTATCATTATTTTTATTATTTTATAAGAAAACTATAGCTATATACAAACATGTTCAAGAATTGACAGTAGCTGTTCCTACTAATAATCCAGTAATTGATCTTTCAAACAAAAAGACATTTTTATTTTCCCATACTTTATGACAAAGCTACAGAGAAAACAAGTTTCTCACTTGTTTAGTCATTCTTATTTTTTCTGATACAATATCCCCTTGAAATGTAATTAATTTATGACTTGCTTAGCACATCTGATTAATCATTTCCATTTAACAAACCAGAATCCTTGGCTTCTAAGTTTTCTTATTAACACTTAAATTATGAATGGGTAACAACACAATATAAATTTTAGTCAAATACATAGAATAGTTTTGGTAGTAAGTTTTAGTAATGCATACAAATATATAAATGCTAGCATTCATACCTTAATGATACTGACACCAGATCCAATGTTGACCAAAAGGAATGGATAGATGTCTGGGTCAACTCCTTGGAATTTGAATTCTGGATTTCCATATCTTTGATAAAGGAATGCTTCATCAGGTATGTTCTTCAATAAAAAGATACAGCCTTTGATGAGACAATGGATTTCATCTTCCTCAGATATACTACAATAAATACAAATGGAAAATTATTCTAAATTTGAGAAGTGCATTCATATTAAAAAATGACGAAGAAAATTTATTCAGGCATAGGAAAGCGTCTATTTAATGTGTTCATATTCTCATTTTCTATAATTTGAAAAAGAAATGTTACATTAATCAGCCCAATGAAATAATATGAATCTTTTTCAACTATATCCTCAACATTCTTAATCTATTCAAAATTTAATTTTCTAACACATCAAAATCTTTATAGATGTGTAAAATTAAACATAAAATTATGTTACACACAAGCAAGTTTTTATTACTATTTCATTAACTTGCAGATTTTATGAAAACTTCAGATCCATCTCAACCCAGACTGGCATTAACAATCATGCTTGTAATATCATATTCAAACATAGGAGCAATGAAATCATGATCCATCACCTGTTACAATATCAAGTGGTAGGTGCTTATGACTTACTGAGGTCCCAATTTTTCAGTTATCAATTCTTTGTATTTGTGTGCCCCTCCCCCTGATGCTTTGAATGTCCTGTCTTTGCTGCTGGAACTACCCTCAAGCAGGTTCTGCTGGATAAAATCAAGGCACGTGCTGAGGAACTTAGTTTCAAACTTGATGAAATGGAGGCGGCACACAAATTCATCCTTCTCAAAGATCTCATAAATGCTGCACTTGTTGGAATTCTGTGGGGAAAAAACACTTAAGTGCTGTCATTTTGTTTAAGTAATTCATTATTGGGAATCATTCATTTTTGTTTAAACATCAAAAAAAAATAGAAGAAAAAAAATGTTATTTCTAAATATCTAAACCAAAATCATGTTATAATATTTCAAATGGAAAAGAAAATGGTATGCTGGATATGTTTATTATAATAAATATAGTTCGATCTTCATGATACCATTGAAATAATACAGTCAATTGATTATTAGAAGTACTGATAGCATCCAGTAATCCTCTGGCATCATGGTAGTTAAGAGTAGAAAAACACATTTTGCTGTGGTTGTGGTTAAAAGGCTTCACTTTATTTGGAATATTGGATGTAGAATGGAAAAAGAGAGAGAGGAGTTGAATAAGAGACAAGGTTTCCCTATTTAGCTCTTTAGAATTCAATCTGACATAACCCACCCTGTAAACATTGACTCTTAATGTTCAACCCACTGTAACCCGCTCCATGACATAATAAATGACAACATCATTGCAAATAACACAGAAGTCACACAAACAGTGAAACTTTGAGAACCAATATTTATGGAGCAGGTTTGAGTGTATTGAATGCCAAAGAGTTAAACCAGTTGCAACACTCTCAGTTGCAGCAAAGAGATAGGTGTTATTCAAGGCAAAAAAAAAGCTTCAGGACAAAATATCCCATTTTTCAATTTGTTGTATTCTGTTATCAAAACCACATTAACATGACATGTACTTTGTTTGTTACATGGTTGTTCAACATATTTAATGACATGTATCTTCATCTAATAATATCCTTTTAATGAACACGAGTGACATGTCCTTAGTCAAGATATATTTAATTATAAATTAAATTACATTTTATGTATAAGATACCATACTGTGAGATAGATAGATGTGTGTATATGTATATAAGTGTAAGTTTATTCCACTTAGGTTCAGCCCTAATCCTGATAACCATTGAAAAATACAGTTTTTAAATAAACCTACAAAAATAGGCAAAGAATGAAACCAAGAAGGCTGGATGCCTAAATATTTACACACAGTCAAGTTTAATCAAGATAATTCAATCAAGTTGCTGAATTCTGTATTTGCAATGAACAAGAAGCAACTAACAAGCCAAACAACAATAATTAAGCTTAATTTATGTGGTATACATTATAGCTATGCATTTTCCACTGGTGTTAACAGTCAATATTCAAACATGGGTAAAATGCTGTGATTACATAACGTTGATTTGCAAGATGGACAGGATGATTTGCTATAAATCTTATCAGAGATACTTCAGGTATCTAGTGAGTCACCATAAAAGATTTTGCTTTTCATACTAGATGGCATTAAGAGCATTTAATTTTAACCAACTTCATTTAAAAAAATAAAATAAAAATGTTTTAAAAAATTTATTGTATCAACTAACATTATTGAAATAAAAATTGCCAAAATTAGTATACTTTTATCCTGACAAAAGATAGAATTAAATAAGAAATATTTGAGGTAGATCATGCTTTTATGATTTAAATACAACTCAACAAATGAATAAAATGATATATCAAAAATAGTTTACAAAGTATCCTTTGAGACTGATATTAAATACAGGAAATAGTCTGAAATTTGGAAAAAAAAATACCTCTTAGTAATTGAGAAACTGAAGGTGAGGAATTAAATATCATTGGTGGTGACCACAACTGGTGGCAGTTTTTAATTGTGGGCAAAGTTGGGGTTTATAAAAAGAATAATCAAGAGCAAGATGGCCTCTTTTCACTTCAATAGTCACAAGATTCATGTGGCTGTGTTGTCAATGGAAAGCAGAAAAGTGAAAAAGGAAGACAAAGGAAGCACAAAGGCATAGTGAGCTTTAAGTAGATGTCCTTAAGAATAAGATTAGCTCATTCACTGTCAAGGCAGTGGATGGGAATCTCTTAAGATTATACTGGGAAGAATCTGGAGCTATTAACTAAGAAATGCTACCAAGATCAGTTAATTAAGGTCCAGGTTAAATGTGCTTGTAATGACATAGGTAAAATGAACTTGCTCTATTTTGCATAGAGTCGAGCTAGAAGACATCACAACAATGTTGCGTTGCCAATAGGATCTCTAACATCATTGGATGAGCCAAACTCTGTGGAAACATGAATTTGTTGTTTTGCTGCCCAGGTGTGTTCCAAGAAGTTGAAGGACCACAAAGTTGCAGGATGGGAAAACAAGATTACATATCTCTTTTTGGCTTCAGCAGGATATGAGGCCATCAGAAAAATCTGTCATAGCATAACTCAAAGAATTGGAGGATTTGACCTTTCACAGATTTCAGACATTATAAAGAGAAATTTGTGGCCAAAAAAGAAGTCGGTCATTGCTGAGAGGACAAAGTTTTTCATGAGCAAACAAGAGCTGAATGAAACAATAATACAGTATGTACACAAGCTATAAGAGGCTTTCAGATTTTGTGAGTTTGAAAAACTTGACACTGGAGAAAGGACCATCAAAGATGACTTTATACAGTTGAGATTAATGAAGGTATGTGTGATGCTTCATACAAAGAAAAAATTTTAAAATGGTTACAACTCCAAATATTCACCAAAGTATAGTGAATTTATAGAATCCTTTCAGGAGTTACAAAAAAAACCCAACAAACAACAGATTTAAATAAGACTCAATGGTAGAATATAGTATCTGAAAATTTAAAGAAAGTACTTATAATAAAACCCCGTTGTAAAAATTTTTACCCTAAAAAGGCAGTGACTTTGACAACAGATGCAAGTGAACATGCCATATCAGTGATTTTGTCTCAAGAAGTCTCAGTTGATGTTAACTTTCTAGAAAGGTACACTATAAAAGGTCCACTTTCCAGAAGGTTAATGTCAACTGAGGCTAGCTATTCAAATGTTGAAAAAGAAGCATTAGCTATTGTATGAAGCACAAATAGGGCTCACCAGTTTTTATTAGGCTGGAGATGTCTGCTTAACTCTGACCATAAACCTTTAGAGTTTATTTTAACCACAGGAAGGAGTTACCTAAAATTACATCTTCTAGAATTTTAAAATGGGTCATAAAGCTCATGACCTTCGACATTGAATATGTGAAAGGAAACTATTCCATATGTAGATGCTTTATCAAGACTAAAATTCAACAATAAATGATTAAAAAGATCAGACAATTCAAAAGATAAAATATTGCACTGAATTGAAACAGATGTATTTCTCTTAAATCATTTTGCATTTGAAACCTTACAAGCAAGATTGCATGTAAAATAAAAAAAAGACAAATGTAGTGACAGAGAGACCCTATAAAAAGATAAGGCACAAGTTAACTATAGAGAAGAGTATTAGATGCAATGGAGATATTTTAATACCACCAGAGAGATTAGTGTACCTGATAATGTTCATTGTGGAATAACAGCAATACAGAGATGATTAAAATTGGAAGCAAGGTGGCCTGGGTATTTACATGATGTAGAAAAATATATACAAAACTACACCAAATGCAGGGAAATAAAAAAATATTTGGAAAGCCACGATACATTCATGGCCTAAAGAAAAAGAGCCATGGGCCTGTGTTGATATGAATCATGTACATGTTAAAGGCATAGGACTGTTTTTAATTTCGGTCAACTCATTCCCTGGATGACCTGAAGAGAATTCAGGATAGGAAGGCAGCCATAGTAAAGCAATATTTTCTAGAAATGAGGTGCCAAAAACGTTAGTCTCTGACAATACTATAGTTAGAAAGATCAACGAAGGGCATAAAACCTCTTCTCTGGAACATGTAGTGAGCTATGCAAAAGACTTACCTATATCAGAAATATGATTGGTATTTTTCATTTCTTACTGAAATATCATTTCACCTTTCATTCCCTTGTGAACATACACCAGGCCTTTCCCAGTTTCTGTGCACACTGACAGAATTTTGGGTGATTTGTCTAGTTGGTGAAAGAGAGTGTTCTGTCTGCATGTTTACAAGCTATTAGATAAAATTATTTTGTATCTTTGTCTAATAGCTTGTAAACATTTTTTTCTCTTTTTTTTGTTGCAAAGTAAAAAAGAGAAAAAACATTTTGGTGAACCTGTTCTAAGTGTGATGATTCCAACACCTGATAATTTTTTTATCATATATAACATATACTTTAAACAAACCTTCACTCACTAAATTTATTTGCTGTTTAGTGCAATGTAAATAAAAATATAGAAAGATAAAAATTTCCTTTCAGAGGGGAGGGTCTTGGTTAGGCCAATAACTTCAGAACCCCTTCATTTAAAACAGATCATAAACATACATTTTTTAGGAAACTAATCTTTTTGATTCCATCCAGCTGAGGTCAAAAGATTTGGTTGAAGTAAAAGTGTGTATTTTTCAAGCAAAATATATTTTCTTATGTATTTTTTGTGCTTTGAATGAATATGATTGTCATTTCTCCAAGAAGTTAACTTTTTTTAAAAGATTTCAGAGAAAATGATTTATAGTATAGGTAAAATGATGAACTTTGTAACTGTGTCCATTATTATACAAGTAGCAGTTCTTTTGCCATAAGATTTAGAATTTTCAAATACAGAAGTCTAAAACATCAAAAAAGATAATTACCTTTTCATTATCTCTGATTAGAAACTCAATTTGTGGTTTTACCCTAATCCTCAATTTCATCACCAGTTATTAACTCATTGAATAACTTTCTTTTTAAGTTCCCATTACATCATATTTACATCAAAACATACCCAAAATTGGGGTCCAGTTGAACAGAATATTTACATTGTAAATACACTTCCTCTACTTTAGAGCCACTTCATTCAGTTCTACTTAAAAGCCTAAATTTTTGTCAAAAATGAAAAATTAATATTCAATTCCATAAACTTAAATTCATCCTGGATTCTCTCAAACTTAATAAATTCTTGTTTTATCTTTTTTCTGCTAGCCTTTTGTACTCTGTCTTACTTCCTTTTCCACATTCCTGTTTTCCATTGACAACACATCAGCCATGAATCTTGCGGCCATCAAAAAGAAAAAACCA